TCTGTGAGGAAGCAATCTAGCAGTAGAAATGAAGAAGCTGAGCAGAATATTCTTAGAAAAGCAAGTTATTCTGCAACAAATTCTTTGCACTAGAACCTAAGAGTTTTTTGTATTCCAGTGGCAGAATTTTCAGCTAGACGACTCTTCTAGCAGTAATCAAACTATTGAATATTCATGTTGTAGTGGAATTTTGTTTTCATAGAAATTAAGAATTTACATTTTACTTTTGAAAACATTAACAGCATTAAGGCCCTATTGTGAGCTGTGTGTCCATTTTCTTTTAAACCTAAGCTTTTATTTTGGGGGTTTTATCATTCAAACTATTTTGCTCCATATATATAATGCAACTATGTTTATTTGAGTGAGAATTCTGTGCGGTGAAGACCTAGTAGAATCGATAGGGTACTAAGTTTCTAAGACTAAATCCCATCTTTCAAAAAGCAGCAGTTAAAAATATGTGGGTAAATAGGACATTTTCTCTCTTATGCCGCTTTTCTTTTTAGTAAACAATTCTACCAGCTCAAATTATTATGATTTGAATAAGTACATTTAACTGCTGGAGGGAGGTGCTTGGATTGACAGCTCTGGAAATGGAAGTCTCCTGTTTCTTAGAATCAAAGAATCATAAAATACTAGAACTGGAGGGACCTCAAGAGGTCATCAAGTCCAGTCCCCTGCCCTCACAGCAGGACCAAGCACAGTCTAGAGATCATCCCTGATAGATGTCTGTCTAACCTGCTTTTAAATATCTCCAGTGATGGAGATTCCACAACCTCCCAAGGCAATTTATCCCAGTGTTTAACCACCCTGACAATTAGGAAGTTTTTCCTAATGTCCAACCTAAACCTCCCTTGTTGCAGTTTAAGCCCATTGCTTCTTGTCCTATTGTCAGAGGCAAAGGAGAATATTTTTTCTCCCTCCTCCTTATAACACCCTTTTATATACTTGCAAACAGGTATAATGTCCCCTCTCAAGTCTTCTCTTTTCTAAACTAAACAAACCCAGTTCTTTCAGTCTTCCTTCATAGCTCATGCTTTGTAGGCCTTTAATAATTTTTGTTGCTCTTCTCTGGATCTTCTCTGATTTTTCCACATCTTTCTTGAAACGTGGTGCCCAGAACTGGACACAGTACTCTGAGACCTGATCAGTGCAGAGTAGAGCGGAAGAATGACTTCTCATGTCTTGCTCATAGCACTCCTATTAATGCATCCCAGAATCATGTTTGCTTTTTTTGTACACTGATTCATATTTAGCTTGTGGTACACTATGACTCCTAGATCCCTTTCTGCAGTACTCCTTCTTAGATAGTCGCTTCCCATTCTGTTCATGTGACACGTAGTGTTCCTTCCTAAGTGGAGCACTTTGCATTTGTCCTTATTAAATTTCATCCTATTTATCTCAGGCCATTTCTCTATTGTGTTCTGATCATTTTGAATTATGACCCTATACCCCAAAGCAGTTGCAACCCCTCCCAGCTGGGTATCATCTGCAAACTTAATAGGCCTACTCTCTATGCCATCATCTAAATCAGTGATGAAGATACTGAACTGGCCCCAGAACTGACCCATGTGGAACCCCACTCGTAATGCCCTTCCAGCATGATTGTGAACCGTTAGCTGTTAACCATTCTCAGAGTAGTTATTATCCAGCCTTTTTCACATATGAGGAAAAAAATGAGCAGAAGCAATGTAGACTTTCTCACATGTTCTTGCAAATCTCCCTTAATTGTTGTCTGAAAAAGGTTGAGTAGTTTACTTTTCTTGGCAAACACAGTACCCACATCTTAGCTTGTCTGGTGAAACTCTCCATAAGGGTGTGAATGGTGGAAATGGATTTTGTGTTGTGGACACGTGAACACTGGAAACTTGCCGAGGGACCATTTCAGGCAGGCTGTTGCAAAGTTTGGTCATTTATCAACCTGACATTGGATTTGAACCAGAGAGGCACCATTATAAATCATCTGAAATGCCAAGTCTCCTGATGTGTGTGTGTGTGTGCGCGCGTGTATGGGTGTATTTGGGGAGAGGGGGGTATTTTCAAAGTAAATCCAATCTGCCCATCTCTACTTTGACACTGTGCTTCAACTTGGATTTGAATTTCTGCTGCATTTTATACGGTGCTTCCTCTGAAAATAAAGCTTCATAATGACACATTATGATGGATCAGTCATGACAGCTGTAACTCTAGGGGGACTGTCCTCTTAAGAGTCCATGATGTGGGGTTATAATATGGCATCTTATATAAGTTTTACAGTGGGAATAGTTTACCCCTTCCCCTGTCCTCCAGGGATTTATTTCAAACCCATCCCATCTTCCATCTGAAAATGTGATCATGTGTAGTGCCAGGGTCTCCAGCGCTAGGGTCTAGTGGGCAAGCGTCCATATTGCAAAATCCACTATTCCAGTCAATATCCTCCCTGGCTTTCCCCCAGGAAGGGGAACATAACGTCATAGAAATGTTGAGCAGGGTGGGGCCTCCGGAGGTGTCTAATCCACTCCCCTGTTCTGAGGCAGAATCATGGAGCTCTGAAGACTGAACAACTCTCTCCAGATGTGGATCAGGGGTTGTGACGTAGTGGGGGTACCTGGCTGGTTTCTATGCGGCTGGCTCTGGGGTAACCCCCACTGGCTGCCGTGGGTACCACGACCCAGCAAAACAGGATGAGTCACTATGCAAAGGGATCTCTCAACCAGTATGGCCAGACACCCCCCATGGAGAGGAACAAAGGAAGGTGGAATGCTGCCCTGGCTGGGGGGCAGGGCTGGAAGAGTGTTGGTTAGTTGCTGTCTGGGAGCATGGAGGAGACAGCCTAGGGAAAGGGGCTGGAGTTTAGGGGCCCAGTCTCCCCCATCTCAAGGGGGCCTGAGGCATCCTAGCCCAGCTCTGTGACCAGATTACATCTGTGCTGTGCTGTATCCTGGAGAGGCAATAAACTTCCTCTATTCCACCGGCTGGTGCAGTCTGTTTGTGCCATTTCGGGGTGCAAGAGACGGGGGACCCCCAACGCGCCGTCACAGGGGTCATCAGATTAACAACACAGAAAGCTTTTTTTTACAGGTAAGTTTGTGTGTGCACTCACGTGGTTTCCCCCAGTCTCTCACTACATATCATTTTGCTGGTATTATATCATTTTGTGTTATGTTAATCTAAGATGATTTTTTTATTATGAGGATCGGACTGCGTTGGGTCACTTGTTTCTAATTAGGACAAGGTAAGGAAGAGAAAGGGATGCATCAGACTGAGAAAGTTTCTCATCTCTTTACCAAACGCTGGCTGGTTATAAAATATAGACCCTGGCGCACATCTTCAGGTCTGCCTCTCTGTAAAGAGAAAATGCATGAGCTCAGAGTTCAGTATAAAATCATAGAACTGGAAGAGACCTCAGAAGGTCACCAGCCTCTATCTGGCTCCAACCTTCAGTTGTTCTGGATAAGTGTCGATCAGTTGATTTCAATGGAGCTACGCCAATGGAGGATCTGGCCCGTGTAGATTTTGAACGTGGATTAATTCAGTTTGCTTGTTGCAGGACAGTATTTTAAAAATGTGTTTGTTCCCATATCTGCCTGGCATTTGAAGGACTTTGGGGGCAGGTGCTGCTGTTTGTAGCTTTAAAGCCAAATCTAATCTCCAGCTGGCCAGTGCTCTGCAGATTATTTTTAAGAAAAAAAAGGAAGAAGAATCACCCCCTTCTAACTAAGGAGAAGTCCTGTGGCACCTTATAGACTAACAGATTTATTGGAGCATAGGCTTTCCTGGGCAAACAAGTGGGTCTTTGCCCACGAAAGCTTATGCTCCAATAAATCTGTTAGACTATAAAATGCCAGGGGATTTCTCGTTGTTTATGCAGATTCAGACTCACACAGCTCCCCCTCCGTTACTCCTCCCCTTCTAAGTGTGCATTAAAAGGAAATGCAAAGGTCTAAAGCTGGAAAAAGCAAAGGGAATTGCACGGAGTGGAGCTGGCTGGCTGGAGAACTGGTCACTTCTGGTGCCTCGGCTAGGGGCAACGCCCCTCTTGAAGTGCTGCTGTGGAGGAACCTCAACCGTGCCTCAGTTTCCCCGACTCTGCTCGTCTCCCGGGATGTATGTTTGTCTCGGGGGAAGGCAAGGGCAGGGCCAGCCTTGATTCCGAAACCGCGTCTGTGCTAGCTCTCCAGCCGCCGGCACAGCCAGACAGGCGGACCACCCCGCTCCTCCC